GTAAAAATAATATTCTTTTCAGAATTTCTGAATGAAATTTAATATTTATAAACTTAATTTACTATATTTATAATCTTGTAATTCATTTTATTTCTTATTCTGATTATTATAATAATAATTTTCAAGTTATTTTTTATCTTAAATAGAAATTTTTTTCTGATAATTTGATTATTTAATTGAGAATATAGTAAAAATTGATTCAAAATTTCTTTTTTCTTGATTATAATTTGCTATTGAGTTTTATTTAATATCTCTAATAATAAATTTTCTGTTATTTATTAATATTTTGATTTATTTTTTCTTTTTATATCTTTACTATCTTTATCATTTTTTCTTTTTTTCTTAAGATCAATATATTTATATTTTATAATTTCCTATTTGTATTATCTCTTAGTAATTTAATCTTCAAGTTTATAAATATCTTAATGTAAAATAGCTTGTATTCTTTGAATTCTATTATTATAAGAATCAAAAAAATATTAATATCCATCTTTTATTAATTCTAGAGTAGTAGAAAATAAATAATAATCTTTAGAATTTCTTGTTTCAAATGCTAATATTAAATTTATTGAAAGTTTTCACATTTTTTCATTTTTGTTTGAATTAAATGATTTTTATGACTTTTAGAATGATTATTAATAAATTTTGATAAGAAAATTGCTAATTATTCATATTTAGCTTATACTAATTTGATTTCAAGTTTTAAAGTATCAAGATTTACTATATTAGCAGTTTTTGATATAATTTTTTTTGTAAATTTTACATTTAATATTTCCAAGTCTTTATTGAATATATAATAATATCTATCATGAAAAATATTAACTGAACATACTAATTAAAGTAAAAATTATAATTTTATATTATTATATAATTGTACAAGAAAATGAATAACAAATTCTGCATATTAATTTTTTTTAGATGTAAAAAAAAGTAATGAAAAAGCTTCTAATCTTTTAAATTATCAATTATAATTTTTATTTCATATTTCAACTTTATAAGTCTTTTATAAACTCATCCAAATAAAATAAAGATACCAAACTCTAACTAAATTATTATTATAATTTATTATTTTTAATAGTATAATTTAATATTTTTTATATATATATGAATTGCACAATTTATAGCAGCTCATAAAAGTTCTAAAACTTGACAAGTTGATCAATAATTAGCAATTATTTTTAACTTATCTAAATATTGAACTTTAAGTATACCAGCTAAGTTAAAAATATTATAACCTGAAAAAATTGTCAATAATATATTATATATATCTTTATTAGTATATCATTATCCAAGTAAGTTTCAAAATTCTTTTTCTTTATATTATATTACTCTTCAAAATATAACTTCATCTGATGAAATATCTAATTTTTCATTTGTAATAAGTCCAATATCATTTTTATACATTTTTAATAATAAAAAAATACTCTTATTTATTGTTGATAATTCATCTGCCTCAAGTATAATAATATTAGAAACTTCATACTAATATTCTTTCTCAACTTGATCTGTAATTTTTTTATATATATTATAAATATTGAAATTGGTATTAAAATTATTACTAGATATATTATTAAAAAGAAAACTTTGAAATATTGTGTGAAATAATATTATAATATTTTTTGAAACTTCATTAGATCTAATTATTTATTCATTATAAATTTGAATTTTTTAATTTGTAAATGTTATAATAGGTATAGGTAAATTATATTAAAAAACTATTTGTAATATAGTATGTGAAGATTGATGAACAATATTATATATATTTCCAAATGTAAATGATTTTGCCCTAATATCAATATTATCAATCACAATAATATTTCAAATATTAGATCCAACTTATACTTGATTAGAAGGATTTATTACTTTTTTTTATAAATTTTCCAAATAAAGTTCTCATTAATCAGTATGAAATATTACATTAACTTCTTTTAAAAAATTATAAACTGAAGAAAGAAGATTAGGCTTTTAATATAAACTGGTTATTATATGAAAAATCCAAATATTTATACTTATAAATGTGATATTTAAAATAATTGATAATATAAAGACTGTTATTTTTTTAATCTTTGCTAAATTAATTGATTTGTATTCTTTTCTTTATTATTTTGCTTTGCAAGCAGCTGAAAGATTTTGTTTGACTTCTAAATTTATTATAAGTGCATCAAAGAAAGATGGGAGTAATTTTGAAATTGCTAATCTAATATTTCTGGACTTTCTAATAACATGATATTTTTTTGAAGTTCTAATTTTGATGTTCAAATTATATTTGTTATTGTATTATCCAAATCAGAAAAATATTCTAATGATAAATTTTTTGATATCAAAGAAATAGTGATATGTTTTAACTTAATAACTGTTTTAATAATAAATAAACTAAGAAGTTGAATTTTTGATTATGTTAAAAAAATGAAATAGGTTGAATTTCTGATTATGATAGTGATTTTGAATAAGAAGATGTATTTAGAATTTGTAAAATTGAACTTAAATGAGATAAAAAAGATAATTTTGTATTTGAATTATTAGATTCAGTTATATTTAATATCCAATTTTCTAATAATTAAAGTGATAATATAGTATCATTGTTATATAATTTGTTATTTTTATAGGATATAATAGATTTGTCTTTTCCAGAATGATGATGTAGATATCTATCATTCTTTTCAAAACAAGAACAACAAACATAGTATAATCTTATAATTAGAATAGTTGGATAAATGACAGAATGATAATTTTGCTCTTTTAATGCTGAATAATTCACTTGTCTAATACATAGAATTTGTATATTACATCCAATAATATTCTATAAATATTCAAAACATTAATTTTTCACAGCTATAAAAATATTTATTAAGTTCACAATAAATGCACTGATGATTTTTTATAATACTTTCAGATACATTTGATGTTTTTTTTAAATCTTATTGATGTAAGTAATTCTGATCAAAAGCATAATAATTTTGATATATGCCCAAATTTTGAAATTTGGTTTCAATTTCTTGAAGTGCACTTGCTTTGATTTCTTACATACTAACAAGTTGCTGTAATCTTCTAAGCTTGATAGTAGAATTACAATGTCATATTTCATTATTAAATTTATCAATTACACAACAGAATTTTAGCTCTAAGTAGTTTTTATCAATATTTGAAGATAAAGCTAATTCTTTATTATTTTTTGTTGAAAAAGTAGATTCTGTTCCAACTTTGAATAAAATATCATCAATATTATTTAGAGTTTCTAATAATTCATTATTTTCACTTTCTAAAGCTGATTTTTTTACTGCTAATTCATGAGCTAAAGCTATAGTTTTTTCATTTTCACAAAAAATATATCTGATGAATTATTATTATTACTATAGTTTCATTATTTATAGTTTTATTATTTGTAGTTTTATTTATAGTTTTATTATTAGTAGTTTTGTTATCTGTAGTTTCATCATATATAGTTTCATTATCACTTATAGTTTTATTATCACTTATAATTTCATTAAATAATAATATGTTGCCCATTTTTTGTTATTATTATTATCAAATTGATTAAATTTATTGCTAAAATATTTTCAATAGATCAAGCAAACTAATGATAATGATAAGGAAAATACAGTTATCATCATTATTGAAAATGCATTAAAGGAATAAAAACCATTATTACAATTGTCATTAGATTAGCAGAACATACATAGTGCTTCATGTGTTAATCATTTTTTATTAACAAATTTATGATGAAGATTTTTTTTCAACTAAAATCATTGCTAATAAATTGAATAAATATTCTAATAGATTGAAGTAAATAAATAAACTTTTAATAATAAGTAAATATATGTTTATATATGAGAAAAAAAGTTTATAAAGGAATGAAATAAATACTTTATAATATTTATATATAAAAATAGAAAATTTTACTATACAAGAGATTTTCTGATCTTCATAGTAAATGCCATAAATGTTGGGACACAATAATATCACATTTAAGAGCAGAGAAAATATTACATTTAATGTGCGTTATCGTAGTAAATATACGTGCTTTTACTTTTCACTTATTTGCTCAGTTGTAAAAATGTAAGTATTTTTCTTAATTATGTATTAGGAGAGAAAAGGACAGTATAATCAAAAATCGTGGCACTAATACAGTCTGATCTCAACCACACAAAAACGCGTTATAGTTTATTAAAACAATTAAGTTATTTCATATAGTGTATTTAAAGTCATGTTAACTGTATTTTTTTATTAATATGGTGCATAACATCCATCTAAAGTTATCATATTTATAAATTGTATAAACTTCTTAACTATTCAAAATTTAATCCATGAACATGATAGAATAAGTCTTTCATAATTATATTTATGATTAGATTTTGAATAGTTAAGAAGTTTACACATCCTTAACTGCAATATCTATTCATTGCTCGAATCCAACCACATTCTTTTTAAAATTAAATCAAGGTTTAAAGGATTAAGCAACGTGGGTTCTAATAACGAAGAAAACTGTGATGAATTGTCAATACAATTTCAATCGGATGAATTTCGTAACGAAACGCAAATTATTCATAAAAAGTGTTTTGATTGCGGAAAATTTGGGATTAACTTTAAGGAAAACTATGCAAGCTGGACAACTGGCAATTTGCAGCTTGATTTAATTATACAAAAAAGCAAAGCCGAAGCAAATATAAGCGGCGATTATCTTGAATACATTCCTTACGATCGATTTAAAATGATTAAATTTCACAAAGCTGGGGCGTTTAGTGAAATTTATTCTGCAATTTGGTTAGAGGGACCCCTGTGGGATTGGAATGAAGAAACTCAGGCTTGGTCAAGGAGTGGACCAATAAAAGTAGCATTGAAAAAACTTAAAAACTCTCAAAACTTGAGCAAACGATTTTTGGAAAACGTAAACAGTTATTTCTTATTTTTACAAAGATAAATTTTCAGAAAAATTAACGAAATATTATTTCCTTTTACTATTCTAGCTACGGAAATATCAACATTGTCTCCAATCGGGTAGTATGGCAGATACATTTGGCATTACGAAAGATCCAAACGGAACTTTTATATTTGTAATGAGATTTTATGAGAATGGTGATTTGAATCAGTATATTGAAAATAACCAAGATATTAACTGGAAGTATAAAATTGATTTATTATGGGGAATTACTACTGGCTTGGAAAATATTCATCGATCTGGTCTCTATCATGGAAACTTACATGGTGGGAATATAATGATTGAAGATGAGTCAATCTCGACCAATGGAAGAATAGCAGATATAGGAATTCATGGACCAGTTGATATTCCAACTGATCAATCGTATGGTGTTCTTCCTTATATTGCACCAGAAATTCTTTTTGGAGCAAAACAATCAAAAGAAGCTGATATTTATAGTTTCGGCATTATTATGTGGTCACTTGCAACTGGACAAAAACCTTTTGCTGAGAGAGCACATGATGTTGCGTTATCAATGGATATTTGTAATGGGATTAGGCCAAAGGAAATTGAAAATACTCCAAAGTGTTTCACTGATTTGATGAAAAGATGTTGGACGTTTGATCCAAAGCAAAGACCAACAGCATTTGAATTGAATATAACATTTAACGATTGGATAACTGATATATGTGATAACCCAGAACCAACTGAAATCAATGAGGAATTTAATGACGCCGAGGAAAGAAGATGTGAGGCTTTTCAAACACAGAAAAACACACCACAAGAAGTTCATAAAGATGCGGTTTACATAAGTCGATTTTTAACTTTCAACAACTCAAAGAAAAATATGATGCCAATACATGTACTGCATAAGGATGCACTTCACACAAATTAACACTACCACTTCCATTTTAAACAAATACGTGTATTCACTATCTATAGGATATATAATTTATTTTGCTCAATTCAGTTAGATTATCGCTTTAGAATTGCTTTAACTTTAAAACTACATTTCATTCTTCAACAAAGTTTAAGTGATCAAAATTTCCGTTTACTTTTCAATTCATTTCATTCTTATTCGTTTTATCCTAGTAATTATATTCTTTCATCATATTCAGTTTCATATTCATTTTATTCTTTAATTCTGTTCATCATTTATTTTTCGTCGTAAGTTATTTTGTTCTATATCATAATATCTCGTTTTATTCTTATAGCATGTTTTCTTTCGTCACGTATTTCGTTCTGTTCTAATTCATCATTTTACATAAAGACTTAGTTAGATTCATCTCTGTTTAATCTTTTCGTCTTTACCACGTACGCTGTTCTCATTATTTTATTTTTTTCGCCATGTACATGTACTGTATTCGATCTATTTCTATATTCATGTTAACGTTAATCATTCGTCATCTATTTCAGCTAGAATCAGCTCTGTTTAATTTTTAAATCATAATTATATATATTTATTTTTTGTTTAGTGTGTATTTCTTTCATATTTATTCTTATGCATTTACCTCATGTATTTTTTATTCAATTATATGTATTTTGTTCTGCTCATTTTTCTTTATGAATTAACATATCAATGTGTATGTACTTCTTTCATATTATTCTTATATTTCTATCTCATATTATTGTTCTATTCATTTTCTTTTTGAATTAATATATAAATATATATATATATATTTCTTTTATATTATTCTTATATATATATTTATTTAATCTATAAGTGGCGGCCAAAAGTAATGAATGCATCAAGGGCTAAATTTATTAATAAACATAGTGAAAATCGAAATTTTCTCTATATTAAAATTTATAAATTTATTAAGAACTAATTTTTATTTTTATATCAAAATAAAGTTCATCAGTTATAGTTTACATATATTTTTTTCAGATTTTTTCTGAAAGAGTTGTTCTAATTATAAAGTCAGTGCAAAAATTTTTATTAATTAAATTTCATTTTAAATTAGTAAAAATTTTTGTATTGACTTTACAATTAGAATGACTCTTTCAGAAAAAATCTGAAAAATCTGAAAAAAATATATGTTAAACTATAACTTATGAACTTTATTTTGATATAAAATAAAAATTATTTCTTAATAATTTATATAGTCTAATATAGAGAGAAAATTTTAATTTTTATTATATTTTTATTAATAAAATCAATTTTCTAATTTCAAAATTATAGAAGTTATTGTATCTATTAATAATATATAGATTAATTTGATATAATTATTTATTATTTTAAATTTATATTAAATAATTTAATCTTGATCTTTATATTTTATAATATTATTAACAATAAATTTAGAATAATTTAATATTTATTAATTTTAATTATTATTTTTATCTTTTTATAAATTATAATTTCTTTATATTTAAAATCTGTAAGCTTTTATCTTTTAAATATTATTCAAAAATAATTATTTTAAAAGAGTATAAAAAATATTTTCTGAAAATAAAATTAAAATAAATTTAATAAAAATAATCAAATAATTTAATAGTTAATTATTAAAATAATGATAGGAACAAAATTTTCTAAGATTACAAAGCGTGTTAACATAGTAATATTTTGTGGAATCACGTGCTAATGATGGCAGACTGGGGGACTATCCTGGTTAAAGCATTATAAAAAATTATTTAAAAATATTTTTTATAAGCAAATTTTATAGAAATATATTTAAAGATATAGAAAATATATTTATAATTTAAAAAAAATTTTCAGTTGATATTTATTGAATAAATGCCAGTCAAAAAAAGGCTTAATTTTGATAAATTTTATAATAAAATATAATAATAATAATATTTTTATTATATTTTACTATATTTTATTATAAAATTTATCAAAATTAAGCCTTTTTTGGACTGGCATTTATTTAATAAATATCAATTAAAAAGTTTTTTTAAATTACAAATATATTTTCTATATCTTTAAATATATTTTTATAAATTTATTTTCATACTTGCTTATAAAAAATATTTTTAAATAATTTTTTATATCACTTTAACCAGAATAGCTTCCACCCGCCACATTTAGCACGTGATTTCACAAAATATTACTATACTAACACGCTTTGTGATCTTGTTTTCATCATTCTAAAGAATATAATGCCAAATATTTGTAAATTTTTAGCAATTTATTATTAAGTTATAGGCGAAAAACATGACCATTATTACTTTCCATATTAACTGTATATATAATAAATTTTAAAAAATATTTAGTAAAATTTAAAATAATTAATTAGAAGTATTTTTATTATTATAATTATAATATTAAAATCTTATTATAAATTAAAATATTATTCTTAATATAATAGATATTATTTTATATATAATATTATAAATAGTTTTAAATATAAAAGTTTTAAAAAATTATATTATTAATAACTAAAATATTTTACATATTATTATCTTAATTTTGTTTTATAAAATTTAAAAAATATATTAAAACAAGTTCTTAAAAATATTATTTATAATTATATTTTAATAGTAATTAAAAGAGATAATTAAAATTCTGAATTCTTAGAATATTTTATAAACTTATTTTAACTTTCTTTATTTTTTTTTAGTATAATAATAAATTTATATAAAAAAATTTTTTAATTTAAATAATTTACTTTTTTACCTTGTATTATAATTAATAAAGTTTACTTTTTAAATATAAATAATATAATTATATGAATAAAATATATATAAATCTCAAATACTTAATATTTTTTATTATAATTATTATTACTTTTTATAATAGATTAAAGTTTATAATCTAGTAAATATATAATATATATTTTTTATTTATTTATTTATTATTTTATTATTATTTACAAAATTTATGTATTCTTATATTATATATTAAAAATTTTATAATAATTAATAAATTATTAAATAAAAATTATTATATTTATAAATATATAATAAATTAATATTTTAATATAATAAATTATATAATTATAATAATTTGAATTAAGAATTTAATAAACTCAAATTAATTTATATAGTATTTCTAAATTAATATTTATTTTTTCTCTTATAATATATAAATTAATTCTTGTTTTAATATAATAATAATTTTCTTTTTTGGAATTAGTAATCTAAAATATTTTATAGCTATTTAATTAAATTGAGATAAAATTTTAATTAATTTAATCTAAAAACAAATATTATATATTATTATTTATCAAGTTATATTTATTAAAATATAATATAGAATATTATCTTGTTAAAATATAATATTTAAATATAGATATGTCAAAATTTATCAGAATATTAATATAAATTTAAACTTTTTCTATTGATATTAATAAATTAATTCTATTCTAATTAAAATAATTTAAAAATATTATTAAATTATTATTAAATTTAATATTAAATTTAATATATTCTTGATAATAAACTTTATCAAATTTTTATCATACTTTTATCTTGCTATCTAATTTAAAAAGTGTGAATTTAAACTTATTAAATCAAATTATATTTTTCTATTATTCATTTCAGTTACTTTTTTTTAATATTAATTTAATTAATAAAATTTTTTATTTGAAGTTAAAAGAGATTTTTTCTTGAATTATAACTTTAATTTTATTTTATCTAAGTATTTATAAATAATATTAGTATAATAAATAATATTGAGTTTTTCAATTATATATTTGTGATTTTATCAAGTAAAAAAAATTATTTTTTTAAAATAACTCATGCTTTTCATAATTAATCAGAGCTTTTATAATAATTTAGATTAGGTTATCTCTCTTTAGCTCCAATTTTCATTTTGCACTATCTGTATAATAGATTAGTTTCTGTATTACTTTTTATAAAAATCAATTTTATTCTGAATATATAGATAATCATTTATATATTTAGTATATTAGATTTAATATATTATCATATAAATAATTATTATATGTATTTATATTATTATTTAAATTATTAATATTTTTAATTACATATAGTGGTGATCAAAAGTAATGACTCAGGGACTAAATTTACTAATAAAACATAGTGAAAATTGAAATTTACTCTCTATATTAAAATTTATAATTTTAATAAGAAATAATTTTTATTTTTACATTAAAATAAAGTTTATTAGTTGTAG